GATGAGGATTTATCACGTACTGTAACTCAAGCATAAGCAAATGTCTCTCAAACGTTGTGCAGTGAAACGACGCACCTCAGTCATCCAAATTTTACGTGCGTACGACTTTTGTGTACAAAAGATACAAGTCCCATTACAAAAAATCCATTTGTATATCTCTCTCCTGAAGGGGATGTTGCTATGGTTCTGCAATGAGGATGCAAGTGCAGAAATCAAAAGAGACCACTCCGTTTATACATTAAAGCAACTTTTTTGTACCAAAGATAAATTATAGGATAGTATACGATATCTAAAATTATTAGTGCAACATGTTTCAAAAGAAGTGGGAGTATTCACACATCAAATTATCAATAATTCAATTATATATAGAGATTCAAGGGGGACATAAGAAGCAAAGAAACATACATGAGTATATCTCATCCAAAGGTACATTACATCTAATGTGTAACTCTCTGCAAGCAAGGCAACAATGACAGGTAAGTCGTCAGTTTTCCATGCATTAATTGTATCCAAAATTCATAAACCCCCATGCAAATTATACACGATAACTCATATGAAGTTAGATAAGTTTATGCTTTAAGAATAAAGTTCTCCTATTTCACATCAATTATCATAGGGAGTGAATATGTTCTTACTAAATCAAACCCTTCACGAGAGGAAGAACTCGTTTCTCATAATTGCCTCTCCAATCAATCAGTTAGATTTTGGGTCCTGTAAAAAGAGTAGCATGAGTGAGAATGCATCCTCATTCTTTGGAACATACAATGTTATAATACAGTTTAAGGGTGAATGGAAAGCTCAGATTTTTCGGAAGCCATATCAGCCTTGTCGGATGTGGCCAGGACCATAAACAACCTCGGTAGTTGGAAATTCATAACCAGCTGGTAATTATAATCAATAAAAACCCAAGAAAAGTATACTGTATGACCGTTTCAGATGTGAAATCATGCACGTGCATATGCCATTGACTGCACCATGGATAAATGACACACACTCGGCCACCATATTTTTCATTTGATGGCTAGAATTTCTTGTACCAAAGGTAAATGGTCTTACAGTATACCATCCCAAAACATAATAAAAGAATACCACCATCTGATAAAAGAATACCACCATCTGAACTAAGACCATACCTCTCTGCCTTGATGAGGTTGGGAGGAATAGAATTCGTATGAATACTTTCAATTTTTTCGAGTAACTGGATTACGGTTTGGAGATGATGAACACTGCAAGAGAAATTAACCATGCTTACATGAAAATGACCCAATTACCTCTAGGGCAACTGGACATGACACACACATAGAGGCATACATCATAAAGACATGCACACATCAATTAAAATTATAAACTAGTTATAGGAACACAACTAAATGTAAATAGCTAGGAGCATCTACACATGCATGCACACACATAAATGTGTGTTTGCTATAGCATAAACTTTATTATGGGCCAAAGAGTTTTCGATTAAGAACAAATCCTGAACATTCAACTTAATAAACAAGCAAATAACAAACCCCATGACTTAACCCTTTATGCACAAATAGCAGAGGGGTCTCTTGCAACTTTGATAAATTTTAAGAAACAAAGGTATTCTTGAGACCAGAAAGAGAACTAGAAAGACCAACCTCTGCAACCCATTGTCTAGATTTGCATCCAAGGATGAAATAACTAGAGGCATTTTCTCCAAAACCTAGTCCAAAGTCCAAACAATTACAGAAGACACATGGTCAGATAATGGCAGAGTAACTTTGAGATCCGAATCGTTTTCAATGGTGAACCTGAGAAGCCCCAAAGAACACATACTTGCCCAGTGTTTCTAATAGTGGAAGCCTTTGTGAGAAGGTTCTTAGGGAGTTTCATCAGCCGGGCCTGCAAATAAGCAGATAATTGAAACAAATATGATGAACATTTGCAAGAGGTGAAGAAAAACCAGAGTTCCACATGAAACAAGAGGCAGGGAACCAAGGAAAACAGCCAACACGTCAAACGCTTGGGCAGAAAGGGTAAGACAATTGCATTATGGCTGTAAAGCTATGAAAAAGGCATGATGATCCAATACTTCACTCCAATATCATTTCAAAGTAGAAAGGAGCTAAAAGGCATGCTTCTAGTTTAGAATGGAACCATACTGTGATCTGAATCAGGGAGGTAGAAAGTAAGATGGGAAGAACAGAAGATGGAAAACACAACCAAGGAAAGTCAGTAGATGCAAAAGCAAACACGAGATATCTGATGGCACAAAACTACTCTCACCTCCATCACATTAACATCTATTGGCATTAAGCAAACTAAAAGTATTTTGAACATCAAACAGATCCCAGTCTCACTATCAAACCAGATCACTCTTGTGGTTGATCTTGCACATTCATCTAGATGCTTAACAGAATGCAACAAGTACCCTTCCATTTGTGAAGGGTATAACTGATATGAGCAGCAACAGTGAAATTAGACAATGCAGACCCTATACCAAATCCTGAAGAATTTAAATATCTTCTTTTAGATCCAATGTAGATAAACTAAGCAAAAAATTTTAGAAATGTTAAAATACTTGGGAACAAAACATGTCTCTATTGCCAGTCTCAACATTTGAAGTGTCGAGATGTTTGTTGTAGGTATCAACACCTATAACAAAGTGCACAAGCCTTCTGAGGAGGTGCCAACATTAATTCCTACAATTCGAGTATAATGCCTACAATTTGAGTACATCCGAAGCTTCAAAGGAGGAGTCACCAAAATTAATACAATTTAACGGGCAGACACTCTGTTTCAGGAGAACATACGTCTTTGAGCGACACTTCTTAATTGGAACATTACACATTTGGCCAACATGGACCAAAACTGCATGAACACTTCTCTTTGTCATATGTCTGCAAATGTGGTAACATGGACACATGTGTCGTGTCCATGACTTTTTGCACATGGCTATACACCAAGGATGCGACACCTATGTTTGAAACCTTAGAAACATCATCATTATCATCGTCGTTATCAGAGCCTTTTTCCAACTATTTGGGGTCAGAGATAGGAATCTTTGTCCGCCAGTCTATTCTATTAATGATCTTACCCTCATGAGACCATAAGTCCTTATATCTTTTCTCACTACTTCCAACCATGTCATTTTGGGCCTACACCTTGCTCTTTTGAACCTTCCACTTGAACTAACTCGCAACTCCTAACAAGTGTTGTACTGGATTTGCACTGCACATGGCCAGCCCATCTAAGTCTATTTTCTCTCATTTTATCGTCTATTGGAGCCACACCTTAGAAACATAGACACTTGTTATTAACCTTAGTTCTTAAAATCTCACTATAAAGGTACTCAATGTCACTTAAAAGCTCTGCTCCCCCCCTTTTCAAATGTACAGAATAGTGTTTGATACGCCATTTCTAAGATTGGTGTTTCTTAGATCGTATCCATGTCAAATGCATATATATATATATATATATCAATGTTCAATTACTCAGCTCAGGCCCAGAACTTGGACCCTACCCGAGCCAAGTGATTTGGGGAGCGTCCGAGTAGATTGTGCAAGTAGTGTACAAGCCCAAAATAGGACTAAAAAATAAAAATAAAGAAATAAAAAAAAGTAAGAAATAAACTACACTAAAGTCCAAAAAAGATGGAACAAACATACGAAAGATTAAATATGAAAAAAATTGATTTACAGCTGGAAACAATTCAGAATATTCACAAAAAAGGCGAAAATACAAAACTAAGCATATGATAAAGAAAAATTCATCAATCATCATAAAAATATCAAAATTATGCATAAAATATTTATACATTGATTTAGTAAAAACTTCATTGTTTTATGATTTTTTTTTCATAACCATGGTTGTGCCTAGGAATACAAGTAGCTGAGTCCAAGTAACTCGGCTGAGTCCAAGTCGACTCGTGTGAGTTTTAAAACCATGGGTCTATGTAATATAGATGAGCAATAATTTTATATCTGGATTGGTTTTGGAACCTTCAATTCCCCATTTTCCAAAACGTCACCATCCATACCTTACCATTACCTTCAAAAAAGTAGAACTTAGTTAGCATGTTTCTCCCTAAATATCCATAATCAAAGAAAACATGAGATATTTACACAGTTTCAAACCACCCAATAGAAAAACTAAAATCTTCTTCGACCCGTCTATCTTCCATATCTTCATAATTCAGCTCCAATTCAGAACCATTCGTACAAGTAACAACTCAAAGTCCTTTTCTTTAATGTCATCCTTCAATTTAAAAACCTTTTTTTTTCCAAAACGCTCCAATTCGAAATCGAGGAACACTACCCTAAGGTAACTAGTTTGTATCACAACTACTTTCATTTTTTATATTATATTTGACAATAAATTTTTAAAATGAAACCAAGAATTGTGATCAAACATAGATGTTGAATCTAACAATAGCCCCTAATTCTTCACTGTAACTAGCAAAGAGATATCATCGTCAATTCCAAATATATAAAAACTGAAAGAGAGAGGAGAAAGAGGAAGACAGAGAGAGATCAGTGGAGAGAGAGAGAGAGAGAGAGAGAGAGAGAGAGAGAGAGAGATTACGTGAGTGGGAGAGGTTTCCTGCATTAATCGGAGGAGATTAGAGGTGGATTGAACTGCCTGCGATATCCCATCCCCCACCCTACTCTTCACGCTTCCCTCTCTCTCTCCTCCTCCTCCTCTACGCGATGCCATCCCCCCAATTCACCACACTAAACACTCTTTCTCTCTCTAATCTCACCATATCTCAAAACTCCATCTTCATCACGCTGTTGTTTCCCCCCCTCTCTCTCTCTCTTCTCTGTCTCCCTGAATAATAACACCGGCTAAATAAACGGAAAAGTTTTGAGTAATGCATATGCAATCCTCCTAACGTCATTAAGGATTTCATCTTAAATTATATAATGGAAAATGGTTTGGGCCTCATCTCATAACTCATGAAAAACATAAAAAACTACGATTATGGAAAACCTCTTTATTGGTCATCTCAGCTTTAACAAATATTAGTCGTAAAATAAAAAATAAAAAAATTAAGCTCTAAAAACTCATGTATATTATAAAAAATAATTTAGACGATCCAATTTACTCTTATTAAAATAAAATGTTCATAGATTTGTAAGATCTCTTTCATTTTTTGAGTTTCAAAATTTATTATTGATGTTGAAAATTGATATAGATCCATCATGAAGATTTTTGTTGTCAAAAGTGTTTTTCAAATGAGGAATTGATGTGTTATTTTCATAAAGCCTAGGCCCCATAGAAACTTCATCCCTTATGTAATCTATGGACTAATGAGGTCGGTAAAGGCTATGATGATTATAATGTTGTATGTGTGAGCTCAAGCAACCTCGTTCTAATATAAAAATGAGCGCACCTCCTTGAAGATATAGTTCCGATATAAAAAATTATATGGACAATTGAAAATCTATCCTTATCTCTAGTTATAAGATTTAAAATTTCAAAACTTATATAAATAATGTATATCTAAAAATATTTAGAAATCTTAAAAAAAGACGATCTAAATAGCTTGTTACATGAAGAACAATTTTAAGGGCTTGAAATGTTTTTTTTTTTCCATCCTCACATCTCGAGGTGGAGATGATCAATTGGAGGGATATCCAATGTTGGAACACTATGTTTTAGTGAATTTGTGATATGCACCTTACTTTAACAGTACAACGTAGTGAATTTGTGATATGCACTTTACTTTAATAGTACAAGATTGCAACCTTATATAAACTTTTTCCTTGAACTACATACCTAAGCTTCTCAATTTCCTTTATTTGTTCCAAAACTAAAAGTTTGGGTATTAGATGGGAACTTAACTATGTTTTTTTCAACATGCATAACTTCGGATTCCCAAAATTAAAAAAATTTCAAAGGTTGAAAGTCCAGAATTTTTTTTTTGGTCACTAGGCAACAGCTGTGCCTCGAGACCAATGAGAAGATATCAAAATCTGAACATTCCAACAGTTTTGGATGTTGAAAACCTAAGATATTGTTCAAATATCAGCGTACTGAATTTTGTATATTTAAAAACCAAAAATAAGGCCTAAATTTTACAAATTTTGGAGACACTAATTTCAGATTTTCAACATGCAAATTTTAAAAAATCTAACGTAATTCCTAAAATATTTATTTTCGGATCTTGAGATACCAAAGACATGCAATTTGGTAATATTAAAAAAATTATAGAAAAAGGGTACAGATGTAATAATGGAAAAAAAATTGGTAAACTTTGAAGAATATGCACGTAAATTTCTCATAAGTAGACTGTGAATGTCAAAAACCATCAAAGTGGTAGATTTGACTTTAGAAAGCCCTCCAATTGATAATCTGGATTGATAATCTGGACATCAATATATATGGATCCAAAAAAAAAAAGAATTTCAAGTATCAAAAAGTAGTGTATTTTGTCATACATTGTCTGGACTGATAATTTCCAGGTTTTTTTGGATTTATAGATCTGCTAATCTACGGTATTTTTGGAACTTAAAATTTCACTATTAGGGTTAAAAATAAATTTTCATGCTTTATTTGAAAATTTATGCCACTAAAATTGCATCTTCTAGCAGGATATGAGATTAGAGCCTTGCATAAACTACACCTGTGTGCTCTGTCTCTCTTTCGTGTCGAACATTGGTTCGCAACGTCTGCTAGTGACCTACTGTAGTCTTAACCAGGTTGAGAAGATTCAGGGAAATTTAAAAGTGGGAGAAAATTGTGACCTCCATGTGCAAATAATTAGACAATCCTAATTAAAAAACACTTATTCTCTTAAAAAGTGGGACTTGATAGTAGAATTTGAAATATAATGGACTGTTTTGAAATTTCAACAATAAATCAGGATTTTTCTGTCCCCTTCCCTTCCCTTCCTTTCCTTCCCCTCCCCCCCCCCCCCCCCGCCCCCCAAAAATAAATAAAATAAATAAATAAATAAACCAAAACAAAAGAAGAACTCTTCTTCGTTCTCTTCTTATTATTGTCCCTTGCAGGGTCATTTAAGTCCCAAGAAGTGCTCCCATTTGGAATCTCCCACTCTCCTTCGTGAACATTCGCAGAGGCAAAATACATAGAAAGCATGTTTCCTTAAACACTGATCTGTAATGGATACAACTCCATTGGATTTTCTTTGTTTAAATGGCCCTACTATGAAGGAATTCAGGTAAGAGAATGGATATCCAAGGGGATGTTTTCATTCTTGAACTCGATAAGGAAGTAGTGCAGCAGCCACCATTCTCCCTTCCTCATTCAAAATATTGAAAGTGGATGCAGCATTTCTCTATCACAGAAAACCGTGGAAAGTAGAAATGAGATCATTTTACAAAGTAGCCCACTCACCAAAAAACAAAGGCACTACTTTCTTTATATAAAAAAATGTATAGAGAGAGTGAGTACCGAGTCTATTGCTTCTAACTTCATGCCATTTGACCGAATGAAGCGCATGAGCTCCGGATCAATAGGCACAGTGAACCTCCCACATCCAAGAACAAAAATCTCTGATAACAGCAATAGTATATAATCACTTGTTTCTACATTCTAAGAAAACATTCCATAATTTCAGCAGAAGATCAATACTGTGTATCTTCATCAAGCGCTCGACTCTCTCTCTCTTAAGGACACCCATAAAAACACACAAACACTTTTCGTCTATCTAGCTATCTAGTTATTTCACTACACATTTAACTGTGTGCTACATGTATGTGCATGTGTACAAAGTATATCTATGTAGATCAGCAGGGGACAATTTAAAAATTTCAGAATGGGAAGGGTGAATTTCTAATCCAAGTGAAGAGTATGAAAATCTCATTCCAATGAACACATGGATCTTTGACAATGTGGAAATAATAGGAAAGGAACAAAATGGCAGGCTCATGAATCTGGTGTGAAAAAATGGAGTTTAGGAATGAAAGTCTCATCATCCAATCAGAATAAGAAGATGCTAAACTAAAAGTATTCAAATTCAGCAATGTAGATGCTGCGGTAATCCGTGATGTTACAAATAGTCAACATACTAAGTTTTCCAAGACACCACTGGTTTTGCACAAATAAGAATTCAAGAAGACTGATCACCTGGTGCAGGCCGCAACAGTTGAAGGACCGATAGACTGGCAAATGAAGCAAAACACTGTTAAAAGTTTATACATATATCAAAAAGGAACTCAGAGAACTTTATTAAAAACTGCAATGTATGGAAAAATTTCCCCAATGGAGAAACTACTGAAAACATGCCACTCTTACAGTGAAGCAACAAGGTCAATGCTCTTGAATTTAAAGAAGCATGATGTGATATATTTTTTCCATTGGCATTTTTGAGAGAGAGAGAAAGAGAGAGATAAAGAGAGAGAGCAACGAAACATATTATGTAATTATATACACATACTCCCTATGTCACTACAGGACACGGTTTTATGAGTCCTAGGACTCGTATGTAGATATGCATCCCCTCTTCCTGATCCATTTTTGAGATGGGTTTTGGACTTTAATCATTCACGTACATAGAATCTCTAACATAGAGATCAATATTATGTAAAAATAAATAAACTTAAAAATTTAAAATAATTTTCTAGAGAAAAATTTTAGGCTGTTTTTTTGTCTTTTTTGGAGGGACTAACACTCTACATCCATCTTTAAGATGGATGTGTGATACCACGGGGGGACGCAAATGTAGTTATGCATCCCCCAATGCATAAAGCATTTTTCCGTCACTAAAAATGGACTTCAGGATAGTTGCCCAAAAGATAAAAAATGCACCCAAATCACATCAAGTGAACCAAGAAAATAAAAATCAATCAGCAACTCAGCAACTTAGAGAAAAACAAATGAACAAACCTATCAGCAGTGATCTCTGACAACTTTTTAGGGCTCCATGACAAAACCAAACTGCCAACACAAAGCACGCTGCCTTCATACTGAACTCCGTTTATTGTGAAGCCTGTGTCTGAAAATCTGGGGAGAGAAAAGATTGAGGAGAGTGCAAGAAGAGCCTCAACAGTCTCAAATGATAACTACAATTTACGTAAGTTCCTCAACAGACCATAGCAGAAGAAGACAAAGGAGAATACTAGAAATGTATAATGCAACGTAAAAGACATATATAACTGAAATAGAGAGCAGAATAACCAAAACACCCTCACGCATGGACAAACAATTAGATAAAGGTCAAAAGGTTATGCGGAGGTAAAGGTCAAATGGACCATCGACAAAATAATAAAATGTTCTTTGATAGATAATGATGAAACAATGGCATGAGAAGAGACCCAACTGCTGATGGAGTCATAAAGCAAAGTTCAAATCTCCAGGACAATGTAGCTTCCATAATAGAGCACTTATTGCCAGGGCAATAACAAACTATGCAATGTATAAGTAACAAATTGCCAAAAAAGAGGAAGATATTGCATAAGAATGGAAAGCCAATCACCTAACTAGACTAATATATTAGGCTCTAATGACACATCCATAGCTTTACCTTCCATCAGGGTTAAAAAGGCTTTCAAGTCTCGGGGACTTGCCTAGAGACGTAAGGAAAAACCCTTGGGTGCACAGCCTGGATTTATACCAAGTAAAATAGATTACCAAGGTACTTCATTTCAACTAATAACAAAACCTTGACTTCACATAAAGATTGTTTTCATTACAAGGAATCAGAAGCCTACTTTGGCCATGCTCATTTGCACCAAACACAAGGGTTAGGATATCTTTGCCCAAGTTTTAAAAATTAGTAAAAGAAAAAAATAATCGTTATCTTGGGAGTTCCTCAAAGAAAGGTGATTCAGGGTTCTTATAGAATCATCATGCCCATTTATAATATATTGGACACAAATGTATTGGCAATTTTTAATCCTCTACTAGATCCTATCTAGACTGAGTAATGGAATCTTTAATTTTTCTGATAGACACTTTTGCCATCCAAGCAGTTTGCACGATCTGCTTTATCTTGGGTATCAATGTAACACCAGAGATAGGAGACCTGAAGTTGTTCCCACATCAATTTCCCTAAGAGACGAGAGTTCAGGTAAAGCAATTCAACTCTCCTTAGAAGAACCAATTTCTCTATCATTTTTATCTAATGCAGGAATGGTTCTCATCAGATTATCAGAGGCCAGATCAATAGTTTCTTAAGTGGTAGATATTCACAATTGCACCATTCACTTTGAAAAGGCACCTGTTTTATTGACCTAACCATGTTGTGCGTACATCGAAGTTAATCGTTTTTGAATGACAGTATTTTCTTTCAGATATTAACAATTCGATTGCTAATATCCAGACAACAAAGATAAGTTTTGTAAAAAACATAATGAAAATCAACAAGGTGCAAAATTTTATTGTTACACTCCCATGTAACCAGGATTCCATTCCTTTATATGAACTAACAACGATCAATTAGAGGTTCAAAGCAAGTAAAGCACAGACCCTCTGTTTCCTCTCAAAATCCTTTACAGCAGTAAATGCTTCATCACATGTACTATATCCTCAGTATCTAACATTATGACAAGTGCGATTAAGCACCAAAGTCCAACCCACTATATAATCTTAAGCTATTTGTCCTTCATCTAACATGATTATGAATGGGATTGGGGCCAGTATCTTTAATGTACAAGATGCATAAGAGCTTTAGCACTTGAGGATCTCCCTTATAGCATAAAAACGAATAATAAAAGTTATCAAAAAATTAGAAATAATAATGATAAGTTTCATCCATTTCATAAAACAACAAGGTCCAAACATATCAAGAACATGTGACACTTTATGTGCACAGTCAATCTGCAGACACTGAATCATTGAATAAAATCCAACGCAACATACTCAAAATAGGGCCTTAACTAGTGCACAAAATCTTCACCCTATGTTTTCAACTTGCTTAGAAGCCCATCCTGGGCATGCCAAGAGAGCAAAATAATTTGAAGTTTTAGCCATTTCAAAGGAAAGTTCAGGATCAATAAGTAAATAAATTTCATGAGATACCAGGCAATTAAGAAAAAGCAGAAAATGAT